GATTCCCTGAAGCTGGAGTTACAGATTGTTGTGAGCCACCATGTGGGTCCTGGGAACCGAACCCAGCAGCCAGTACTTTTAACTGAGCATCTCTCCAGCCCTTATGGCCATTTTTTAACTCTCCTAGAAGACAATGAGGACATCCTGGTAGGAAGCAGGCAGGGGATCAGGACTCACTGGATGCCCTCTGGTCACCTTCTGCTGGCTGCTGACCACACCAATGCTGAGTCAATGGACCAGCTCAGAGGAGCAGCTGTCACTGGTTCCAAAGCCTTGTCAACAGTTCCTACTCCTCAAACCCTTCATCAAAGCTCTACTGGGTTTTTCTGAACCAGCTGCATATTGGCCCTGGGTGTAGTGGCATCTTGCCAGCAGCTCCTCTACCTTAAGAGGGTCACGTCTGCACCTGAAACCACACCCAAAGGGTGTGGCTACTACTACAAGTTCACTGGCAAGGCAAGATGCCACTATACCAGAGTTCTTTATTTGACTGTCTTTGTACTGTCCTCCAATTGAACCCCATCCATCTTCCCTACAATCCTTTGTACCTACTACCTCACCTACCCCTGGATCCCTGAGCACTGCATCTCCAAGTCCTTTCGTGACTGACTTGGGCAGGGAAATGTACCATTAGTGATTTAATCTCCACAAGACATTTCTCTCTAATTGCTGGTCATGGATGATAATTAGCTGCTGTTAATTCCTGATCATTAACAAGCTGATACTTAGAGGTAATGGCACCGGTAATCATCATAAACCATACAAAGCCACCGTACTTCCAGTCCCCAGCTTCCAAAGGATGACACTGCACAGTGATAGCTCTGGTCCAGGAGGGAGCTGGCACCCTTCATTTTTGTTTCTGAGAGCAGTGGTCAGAGAGGTGATGTCTCTAATCTTTAATCTAATGTTCTTTGGCTGTAGAAATACTGTGTGTTCTTTTAGGAGCCTTCTGGAGCACAGAAAAGCATAAAGAACATAAAACACATATAATCTTATTACCTAGAGCATCTTCTGCTGATGTTGTGTTCTTTCTTCCCAGTCTGTGGATTTTTCACATAGTCAAGTGGCTGTTAAATTTGTGGCTTTGCAGTCTGCTCTGTTCACTGAACAGCCTAAGGTAAACATCTCTCATGTGGGAGCAACTACACAATTGTCCTCCTCTCCCACCAGAGGCAGGGAAAGCTATGACTGTAGAGGGATGAGAGTCTAGAGACAGAGAAGCGGGCATCAGAAGAACAGGGCGCAGTAGATGGCTTGATGAGCAAGTGACATGTTTATGGATCAAGCCTGAGAAACTGACTGTGATCCCCAGAGCGCCTGAAAAATGTCTGTCTGTATATTGCTATCTTGTGCTTTTGTTCCTTGGAATAACAGACTGATTTGTCTGTCTCCAGCACTTCTGCCTTCTGGAACCTGGTTGCCTGACGTGGGGTCTAGGGTACTATTAGTCTAGTTGCTTACAACATGGCTTTCAGAATCAGAAATGCTGAGTTACAGTGGCCCACCGTGGAAATGATACCAGAAACTACAGTCCTGAGGCACCCCACAGAGAGCCCCCAAAACATTTGTTACTCTAACCCTTATGTAATACTGGCTCATTTATAAAATCATCTAAAGACCTGTGTCTTATGCATCTCTGGATTCTGCAATGTCCTCTTTGCATGTCTCTCTACTGCCTGAACACTCCTTGAACTCATTCATTTCTCCAGTAGAAAAGCATACAGTCTAGGCAGAGAGTTTGGAGTCGGACCCAGCTTCAATCCAGTCTGCCACCTATGATATCCTGTAGGCTGCCTGACACCTTAGGCCTCAGTTTCCCCATCCATGAAATGAGGTTACTATAACCTCCTCAGGGGGTTCCTGTAAGGGGTTGGTGAGGGCTTCGTGCAGTAATTGACAGTCAGTACCTTATAAACACATACGATGTCACAATAAAAGCATAACTGTGTTTGCAGTGATCTGCTAAATTTCTTTGCTTTTCACCTCTGTTTCCGCCCCCCACCCCCTGTGCAGTTGTCCCATCCTCCAGAAAGGGAGGGGACTCTTGGGGTTTGCCTAAGTACACACTCCAGACTTAAGGGCCTTTCTTGTAGAGTTCTCAGGCAAGGTCACCTTCAGCCTCTTTTATGCTTTGCTTTACTGATTCGGATCCAATCTCCTCTCCACTTTCATCTCTCCAAATCTCTAAGACCCAAATCTTTCTCATCTCTGCCAAGCTCAACATTAAGATTGGCTGCTCAGCTTCCGCCGGGCAACAGCTGTCGTATTTCAGGCGTCCCGATCTGTCTGCTCCATTGTTACTGAATAATGACACCCTACACAAAGTCCAGCTTTTGGCTCTTGCAAGCTACAGTCCTATCCACCATAGCAGTCAATCCCCCAGCAATTCTGGGGGATTTTTTTTTTAGTCCTTTATCGGAGCAGCATGATTCCCAGATAAGTCTGGGGAAATTTGGAGTAAGTGAAAGTAAACCATGTTGTCCCTCTTTACCCCACGCAATGCAACTCTTCGACACCAAGATGCAGTGTCTGCTGACCACTTCCCCCACCATCTAGAATATTCCACAGCACTATTGCTCTGGCTCTCTGCATATTGTGTAGTAAATGGCATGGCATTTCACTTTCCCCTTCCTTGTCGCAGTCAATGAAAGGAAGGTCTTATGGCCTTAGCGCTCTGCACTCTCCTGCCTTGCAGACCCCCTGCCTTTACACACCCCCAGAACATGATGGTATGTGGCCCATTCTGTGGCTTTCCCAACTCTCCCATGGTCAGCTGCGAGGGTAGCTCTGCTGCTGGGGCATGACCAGGCAAAGAGCACCAACACCCTGTCCCCGGCCACCCAGCAGTGAGGTCAACTTTACAGATGAACCTGGCCTCTGGTGCTTTTCAGGCATCTTGGCATCCTATGCTTAGATCTCAGCCAAGGTGTGACATCATCACTTGGTAGGATCCTCGAGATACCACCCAGGCCCTATGCCTGTTGGACTCTACCAAGACAATGCTGAACCACTTCTAAGACTCTAACCTTATAACACTCAAAGTTGCCCACACCATTGGAACTTTGTGACAGGGCTGCTATAAGTACGATTTTTGTCCTTGTCACCTTAGGCTTGTATCTTTTAGAAGTGGCTCTGCCTGCCTTGCTCTGGGCTTGGGTCACACTCTGAACTTTCTTATAGATTTGGTTTCACCGTAACCATATGCATGATAAAAGCGACAAAGCGACGTAAGGACGAATTTGCTGTGGCTCACAGTTTGAGGGGACACAGTCCACTGTGGTGGTGAAATCATGGTTGCAGAATCTGATCACATCATTCCTGTAGGAAGCAGGGAGATGTGAATGAACACACTTAGCTCCCTTTTCATTCAGTTTAGGGCCTTGCCCTACAGGCATTGCTGTCCATGTTCAGGGTGGATCTTCCCCTTCGGTTAAACCTTTCTGGAGATGTCCTCACTGCATACCCAGAGGTGTGTTTCCATGGCGACTAAACCTAATTGGGCTGGCATCATACTCTCTCATAGCAGGTTCCCTGCTGCAATGCTGCCTCCTGTCAATTTGGCAGTGTTTCTCAGACTTTAGCCGGCAGACAAACTCACCTGGGTCTTCTTAAAATGCAGATTCTCATTTAGCCACATTTCTCATCACTATTACAAAATACCTAGTAGAGGCAACTTAATAGATGGAAGAGTTATTTGGGTCCGTGGCTCCAGTCCAACCATCATAGGGAGAGAGGCATGCGGCTCACGGCAGTAGAGCCTCCTCACATCTTGGTGAAGCAAGGGTGAGAGGCAGATATAATTTCCTGGTCTGTCGCCAGTGTCCCACTTCTGCCAGCTGGACCCAGTACCAAAGGCTTCATAACCTCCCCCAAACAGCACTAGCAGCTAGGACCCAAGTATTCCAAAGCGCAAGCCTATGGGGGATTATTTCAGCCCTAACCCATAACAGAACGTTGGTAGGTTCCATGTCTGGTTTTCAAACCATCTCCCTGGTGATGCCAATGCTGCAGGTCTGTGGACAGCACTTGGAAAAGCAAAGATCAATCTTTCTCAATTTCAGCTTTTTCAATGTTGTCACTCGGGTCCTGATGGACACTGTAGGAGATTCTGTGAGGTGACCCAGGATAAAGGATGCTTAAGACACTCCTGGGTGAGTCTCAGTTGCAGCCACAGTGTAGAAGCCCCAAGCCAGGCCATGGGCTCTGTGGGGCTAGCATCCATCCTCTCCACTTCCCACTATTCCCCTCATCCCTGGAAGCATCAAATGAATTCATGGCTCACCTTGCAGACTCTCAGCTTTTCTCTGGATAGTTCAGAGCTTGAACTCAGGTAGAAATGGGAGGCCTGTTGAAACTAACCCTTGGTCCGGTTGCTTTACCTGTGCTGACCCAGTCTCCCATTGGATCAGAGGAATATTTCCCACAAGTAGCCTTCTCTGTCCCTTTGTGTCTCCCCAAGACCGCTGCCCACTATCTGGAGCCTGCTGTCAGTGAATAATTGACCCCTAGTGTCCTTAACAACCTGGAGGAACCTACCCAGAAAACTTGATCCCCACTTTTTCCTGTCTGGTGTCTCAGCCATGACCATCAACGGGTTACATTGGGCTGCTTTGGGGACACTGTTGTTCTAGATAAGCAGATCTTCAAGGGCAAGGGCATAACATGCATCATTGTACCTCCCATATCTGATAAGATGCATGCATGGATGGATGGATGGATGGATAGGTAGATGTGAATGGATAGGTAGAAAGATGGATGGTAACGTGTAGTAAGGGGAACTTAGAAGACAAGGAGGTAGATACAATAGCCTTAAGAGAAAGCTGTGAATCCTTGAGAGGCAAAGGGAGAGAGTCTCCCTTATGTGGTGATGGTCTGGAAACTGGGAAGTAGCCTAGTTACTCTTATTCATTTACTGGCCCAGAGCAGACTGACTTGAGTTACTGCTCAATGCTTTCTGCTCACACTCCCTCCCTGTCCCCATAGCCCATTGTCAGCCCTTGAGACAGCACTGCTGACTGCCCAGAGATCATCCAGGAAGATGAGCGCCTGTGGGAGGAAGGCCCTGACCCTGCTGAGCAGTGTCTTTGCTGTCTGCGGCCTGGGCCTGCTGGGCATCGCAGTCAGCACGGACTACTGGCTGTACCTGGAGGAAGGCATCATCCTTCCACAGAACCAGAGCACGGAGGTCAAGATGTCCCTGCACTCGGGCCTCTGGCGGGTCTGCTTCCTCGCTGGTAAGGACAGTCCTGCCCTGGGGGATACCTGCCCCAATAGAGACACCCAGAAGATGCCAGTAGACCGTTCAGCATAGACAGTCTCCACCAACTCTGGGCAGTGCTACAAGCAGCCACCAGGTCACAGACCCAAACTCAGACCCTGGTTCATCATGTCCAGAGAGCTATCCCTCTCTGGTCCCAGGGCTTGTTTCCCTTCGAAAAGATCCGTGCAAGCCTGGTTTCCCCACACTCTGCATTTCAGTGCTGAATGACGCCTCAGATCAAATCACTCTCACAGGCCTTACCTGCGAGACCGTGTTATTAATCACACATAATTTTCACAATGACTCTACAAGGCAGGCTTATCGTTGCCACTTTATAAACGAGGAAGTAAAGACTCCAGCCGGTTGAGCTTGTATAGGCTCCTACTTCACTGACATCCACAAGGTTAAGGACCAGGAAATGCTCAGCAGCTTCCTGTGCCTCTGTGAAATGGCCCCACAAAGAAAAAAATAAACACGGGTCTTTCCGGGAAGGTGCAGATTTTGTTCTTGCTAATGTGACTTGGGCACTCTCTAGAATCAAGTGAGTTGCTACAACAAGAGCCCTGTCCTTGGGGGTTTTATCACAACTGTATTCCACTTTATGCAAGATTAGCATCCTCCTGTTCCACGAGACCTGTATAAACTATGCGGGTCAGACTAGCCACAGTGTGTGTGGTCTCTGAGCTTCTCTTGTGGGATCCTGGGACCTGTGTGTACATTGAGAAAAAAAACATAGCTTGTTTCCCTCAACTTCCTCTCCCACCTTGATGCTAGGGTTTTGATGGATAGGCCAGAGGTTGGATGGGGTTTAGCACAAAGGACACATCTGGCTCCAGCCTGGCTACCCTGTGTCACTGTAGAGTTTGCTTCCAACTCTGACCTCATCTCCCACTTCCCCAGAGACTGTGCCAGAAGCAGAATTTGAGGCCACCAGGGTCTGACTGACAAGGCAGTGGTAGGAGGTTATTGCACAAAAATCTACACACATGCATCCGACACAGCCAAGCACCATGCCCAGTCAAAAGCAACGGAGGCACCAAACACTTGCCCGCTACAGATTTCAGTATGGACCACTTCCCATGCTTCAGACCTCACTCCGGGAAGAAAGCAGCATCAATACATGTCCCCCATCTACTACCATAGCCCACCAGCCAAGGGATGGAAACTTCCCTAGAGTGTTTACAGAGGCCCAAGGATCCTAGAAGCATTTGGGAATGTACTAACCTCGAATCCATGTTGGAGTAGGACCTGGAAATAGCGGTGATTTCTTGTCTCCACAGGTGAGGAGCGAGGGCGCTGTTTCACCATAGAGTATGTGATGCCCATGAACAACCAGATAACATCAGAATCCACAGTCAATGTCCTAAGTAGGTGTCTAGAACATTCTAAGCCGGGCCACTGGCGGGACAGAGAGACAGACAAAGGGAAGAGTCAAACATCCAGAATTTTCTCAGGAGTTAGTGTCCTGGGCCTTAGCTGGCTCTCCTGATCGCTTTCCCTAGCATGTGCTCTGCAGGCTCTTCTTTCCAGGGTGAAAATAGATGGCCGGGACCACCATATCTCTGACCCCAGGAAGTAAGGGAACACTCACACCTGGACTGAAGCAGCCTCTCTGGACTGTACCAAGACTGACTTTATTACCTTGACCTCACCAGACTCTCTCCAGCTCTCAGCATGAACTTATAGCGTTACAAGACAGTTCATCCCCTTGGTCTGATAGAGTTGGCCCAGGACCCTCTGAATACAAATACCTATGAACTTACATCTGTTAAACAAAATGGCCTAATACTCCAAGAGCAAATAACCAACACACTAGTCCTGCAGTCTTCGAATACACTCTAAATAGTGGCTAATATCTACCACACTGTGAATGACTAAATCCAGTGTCAGCCCCTTCTCTCCTCAGAGGTCAGGCTTATGTCACATGGCCCCAAGTTCCAATCCTCTAATCAATGTGTCTGCTCTTTCCTGCCCCCATCCTGAGTAAGCTGTAAGCATAAACTCAGCTGCTCTGGGAAGCACATGGGAATAACACAGATACTCTGTGGGAAACTGAGGATTTAGGTTGCCTCTCAGCAATCAGAGACAAGTGTGAATTCTTTATTGTATGGTAGAACTCCACAGGTGATTATAAACTGAAAAAGGAAGAGGCCAGTGCCAGTCCCCCTAACACTCAGAGCATGCCCTGGACCCTTGGAAATGGCAGATGCCTCTCGAAGATGAGGCAGGGTGACACCTCATGGCTCTCCTATAGACAGGCAGTGTAGATTCCTGGGAGGGCAGCTTTTGCCTGAAGGGGTGACAAATCTCTGTTGACAGTTGGAGTCAGACCCGGCAACCCTGTGTTGGGGACAAGAGCACTGCCAGCACCAGGAGATCCCGAGGCCACCCTGTGGGAGTAGGGCGTTGAGGACCTGTTGGTAGACATTGCCAGAACATACTTCCTGGAGTGAGGCAAGTAAGGAAGGGTCACTGTTTTAGCCTCACGGGCTGTTCCTTGTCCCCTGCATTAGAAATGATTCGCTCCGCCACCCCGTTCCCTCTCGTCAGCCTCTTCCTCATGTTCATTGGGTTCATCCTGAGCAACATCGGGCACATCCGTCCCCACCGGACCATACTGGCCTTTGTCTCTGGCATCTTCTTTATCCTCTCTGGTAAGTCTTATTGTTCTATCCCCATCCACCCTGGACTTCTGCTTCAGAAAGTGCTAGCAGCTGTGAGCCAACACTGGGCATAGAATGAGCTGAGACAGCCACCTTGGCAGAGCTGGGTTAGAGCTGAAGCTGAAGGACACTTCTGATGTCCTTAGACACATCCATGACCAAAAAGGAAAAGAAGCACAGGAGGCTTCAGAGTTAGAGTGGCCGGATGGGTTCACCCTGGCACAGCTGAGATAGGAACCCAGCCTCTGTCCTCAGAATACGCATCACCTCCTCTCCCGTTCCCAATGACGGGTATTCATTCCTGTGTCCCAAAGGGCATAGGTATGGCTTTGGAAAATAAATACATTGTCCTTTGGAATAATTGTTCCTTTACCCCTAATGCTCAGCTACCCCCAGAGATTTCTGCTTTCATAATCTAGCCACACCCCATATCTTGATCTTGCCAGACCCCTTCAACATAGACCTATCTTCATAGACTATCACGAGATTGCACTTCATTCTTTCATTCCTTCATTCACTCATTCATTCAATCAGCCAGTGATCATGTCTATTCTGGATGCTAGCATCACTTAAAGGTCAGAACAGTGGGAGATATAAACATGTAGCGTAGAAATAGGGACTTGGGGTGAAGAGGACCATGGTGGGGCCACCAGGAACTGTCACTGGGACTGAGAATAGTGGCTGAACTTCAGAACAAGGGTTGTTCAGAGAAAACTAGAGGAGACGTTGACCTATACAGTGAGTAGAAATCAGGCAAAGAAATGAAGTTAGAGAGAAGGAAGGGGCCTAGAGAGAAGAGCGCCAAGTGTGGCAAACTACCAGAGTCTCTGGGGGCCTGAGGAAGTGTTGAGAAGTGAGACCAGAGGCACTGAATCGTCTTGAGAGCTGAAACTTTGCAAGAAGCCTTGAGAGGATTTTGAGCCAAGGACTAGCATCATATTCGGCTGCTAGAACACAAGCTGTTACGAACTGTGAAGAAGGGAAGCGAGCCAGGAGTCAGGGAACCTGGACAGAGGTGGCTCCAGGAAGTACAGGGGTCAGGCAATAATGGCACAGACTAAGGTCTGCAGCAGAAAAAAGTGGGAAGGTTCATGGGACATTCACTAGCACCAGGACTAGGCTGTCAAGGGAGGCATCCAGCATGAGTGCCACTTTCGTGTTTGGACATTCCTAGATCACATCCATGATCGAGGTCACATCCATGGTCCAGGAATCACAGAAAGAGAAACAGCTTTTCACAAAGGTTATACAATTAGCGTGGAAAACACTGAGTTGGAGGTGTCCATTGTGGCATGAAGGAGAGGTATCTAGAAGGCTTCCAGACACAAGGGTCTGGGTCTCATGGAGTCACCTGAATGGAAGACAAAGATTTGAGAGCTACCAGCCTAGGTGATGAAAGCATAAATCATGATGAGATGCACAGAGGAAATGTGTGAGAAGGCAAAGTGTGTGGTGAATTAAATGGGTGCTTTCTCCCCAGTGACCTCAGGAAGACCTTTTCTCTAGAAAATAATGGATGGCTTTCAGGGCATACATTTTAAGTGTCTTGGATTGGTAGGCTGGAGAAAGATCTAGGAGTTGATGCTCAGGTAGAAGATAGGTAGGTGGTTTGAATAGGATAGATAGATACAATGGCTGACTGGATGGATAGGTAGAAGGAAGGATGGATTAGTGGGTGGATGGAAAGATAGATAGATAGAAGGATAGATATATAGAAAGATAGAGGGTATGTAAATGGATGGATGGATGATAGATGGATGGATAGAAGGGTGTATGCATGGGTGGGTGGGTGGGTGGATGGATGGATGATGGGTGAATGGGTAGATAGATGGATAGAAGGGAAAAACAGATAAAAGACAATAAAGAAAAAATGATTCTCTTGCATAAGCAACCTTATTGCCAACTGGCTTGCCAGTCCCTTTAGGATCATTCCCCAATTTCCCTGTGGTCATAATTGTTGAGCCAGGTGGCAGGCAGATTACCTGACTCCCAAGAACCATTCTGCCTCCTTCTTTTTACTCTCTCTCTCTCCTGCCCACCCATTTTTTTTTTTTTTTTTGCTCTACCCAACAACAACCCACCTGCAGTGTATTTTCTTTTCTATCCCATCTTTCCACACTTTCATCCACATAACAAATCCAACAACACCTGAAACACTGCAGCCCAGCACTGGTTTGGGGTATTCCAGCTAGCCAGAGCGGGACAAACTCAGGGCCAAGCTATTCATTCTTCCTCCTGTGAACTCCATGGCAGCTAAGCTGGATGCCTGAGATTCCAACAGTGAGTGAATCTCAGGACCATAAACCTAGGATGGAACTGGTACACAAGCTCCATAACAACAGAGGGACATTGGGGGCAGCAGTGAGTCACTCTTGAGTTAAGTAGGAGGGAGGTTTGAGTCATACCTGTCTATCTCCCTTTAACATCCCTCCTTGCAGAGGGCCTAGTTTTATAAAATAATGTGAATGGAATGAAGCCTGAGCAGCTCAATGCAGAGTAATTAATTACGTCTTGACTCAATTACACTCTCTAGTTGATGGAACTGCCGCCTGAGGCAGGCATGGACACGATGGCAGTTGGAGTTTGGAGGCCCAGAGGCCTCCCGACTCAATGCTGGCCAGGATCTGAACAAACTTCCCTTACATCTCCTGGCTGAAGATCTCAGAGGGGATGCACTGTATGATTGAGTGGTCTGCATAGGCCCCGGGGTCATAGTGACAGAGATAGCTAACACCCGCTGCTGGAGACAGGATTAGAAGCCCTGCAGGGGAGATGTATCTTAGTCCTCGCACTAATAAAAATCTTCTTGTTAGCTCAGGGTTCACACCCCAGGATCATATCAACGTTTTAGGACACTATAGTACCAGGAGCCCAGAGCAGGCCCAGTGAACAAGGATACTCAGTAGGGTATGTGTGACTGAAGTATGTCAGTCACAAGGCTAGTCTCTTGGCTCAGGAAAGTAGTTGGACAGGGAAATAGACTATTCACTTCCTAGAAGAACACGGGTGTAGACAGAGTCATCAAGGGGAAAGGTCATGCTCACTCTGGAACTCCAAATTGAAGGTTTTGTTCCCAGCAGGTACCATATTGGCAAACTCCCTGGACCTCCATGCTGAATGTGCCCTTCCTTCCCCTTCCCTCATCCAGGCCTCTCTCTTGTGGTGGGCCTGGTGCTGTACATCTCCAGCATCAATGATGAGATGCTCAACAGAACCAAGGATGCAGAGACCTATTTCAGCTACAAATACGGATGGTCGTTTGCCTTTGCTGCCATCTCCTTCCTTCTAACAGAGGTAACCTACCCCATACTGTCCTGTGCCAGGTACTGCCCTACCTGGAAGGGAGGAGGGAAACATCCCACAGCATCCTGGATCCTACTCCACCACTCTTCCCCAGAATGTATCTCTCCTTGGCTTTCCTGGGTCTCTTCTATCCCGGAGGTTCCCAGAGCCAACTCCTGTCCACATGTACGCTGGCCATCCCACTAGAGAGGCTGTGTTCCAGGAAGACACAGCTGGGGCATTACAAGACCCACCCCCCTCCCAGTGAGCTCTCCTCTGCTTCTCTTTGACTGTAGAGTGCTGGGGTAATGTCTGTGTACCTGTTCATGAAGAGGTATACTGCCGAGGACATGTACAGACCGCACCCAGGCTTCTACCGGCCACGCCTGAGCAACTGTTCCGATTACTCTGGCCAGTTTCTACATCCAGATGCCTGGATCCGGGGACGTAGCCCCTCAGACATCTCAAGCGATGCCTCCCTGCAGATGAACAGCAACTACCCAGCTTTGCTCAAGTGCCCAGACTATGATCAGATGTCGTCATCCCCCTGCTGAGCCCTGGCCTCCTTCCCACCTGAACTTTGGATGGCTGGACAGCCTTTCCCTCTCCCCTTGAGCCAAGGCCCAGGCCATTCCCTGCTTAGCCATTGTTACTTGACCACATCCTCTCCCTGCTCCCAAAGTAGCACTTCCTTCAGTGGGCATTAGAGCCTGGAGTCACAGGCATGCCGATTGGCTGAGGGCATGGATGAAGTCCCTCCTCTAGAGTGCCAATCACAGGCATGGGTCCCTGGGAAGCCAGCAGCGCCTTTCGCTGTGCTGTGTCTGAAGATGCCTGTGTTCTAGTCGTATTTTATTCCTGCACTTCCGGGTCAGCCAAGGCCAGGTTGGAGTTGCTGAGCTCCTGATATAGACAAAGCCAGACTTGAACACTTGCCAACCAGTCTGGCTCTCCACCCGTGATCTATGCTGTGAGGCCAAGAGGTGATTCTGCTCCAGCAGTCTGGCTGGCTCAGAAATCCCAAGCAAACAGTTCCTTATGAGATGCTCTACCTTTTTATGCCATTGGCCTCCCTCCGCAAAACACATCTCTCTGTATGACACTGTCCCTAAGGCCCTGCACTTTCTGTCTTTCATCCTTCCAGAATGCAACTGCCCTGGTCAGGGACTAAGGTAAATGTTCACCGGTACCCATGAAGTCACAAAGGTATTAACGGCTGAAGATGTCTTAATACACATGGCCCCTTGATAAGGCGTTTCAGGGGGGCTTTTGATGCCTTAACCCAAACAAGTGACTAATGAGCAGAACTCAAGAGTTTGACAGTTCTGCGTTCAGAGCTCCAAGCACCGTGTCCAACCCTGGGGGCATTGTCCCTGACTTCAAGGACCATTTTCCATACGAGGCTCTAAGGTCTAATCATGCAGACAGGTGTCTGTATCAGCAAAGGACACGGTAGCTTCGAGCCAGGTTTGACAACACGGTGCATTTTGATCCCAAACAAGCCAGATTCCAGATGATCCAGCTGCCTTGCCAAGGATGCCTGTGAACATTTGGGGGTTGCCAATTTAATCCTAATATGGGGAAGCATCTGCTTCCCAGTTATGTGACATATGTAAGCAAATCACATGCCTCCAGAAGGCCAGTCAATGTGACAACTGCTTTCCTGATGGGGAGGTTTTGGAAGGCTGCAAGCCACTTCCGCGAAGTCCGTAAACCCCCCATAGTTCTCCATGTGTCCGCTCGGCTTGACCATTGTTCATTCTGAGAATTTTGAGAGGCAAGCCAATGTGGCACTCTCTTTGCTGTGTTTTTTTTTTTTTTTTTTTTTTTTTTTTTTTTTTTGCCGTGCCCACTTTTGCCTCGCTCTCTTTGAGATGCCAAATGTCCCTGGATACACAAAGCCACAGTGGGTAACTCACAGGCTCTGGCAAGAGGCACAGGACACACAGCGGGTGCCGACAGGAGGGCACTGACTCAGTCAGCTTGGAGGAGGCTGTAAGTTCAAGATCAAGTTGTCAGAGGACTGATCTGTGGGGCATTTCCTCCTAGCTTTAGAGATGCTACCTTCTTGCTCTGTGCCCATGCGCCTCTCAAAGAAAGTAAATAAATAAGTTTTTTTTTTTTTTGGTATATTCATATTACCTCTTAAAAGGACACCAGGGGCTGGGGACATTAACTCAGTTAGTAGAGTGCTTCTCTAGCATTCATGAGGCCCTGGATTGGACCCCTAATACTATATAGTCCAGGTGTGGTGGCACACATCTGTAGTCCTAACACTTAGGATATAGAGGCAGAAGTTCAAGGCCACTCTCACCTACATAGCTAGTTTGAGACCAGCCTGGGTTACATGAGACTCTGACTCAGAAAAAAAAAAAAATACAAAGACATCAACTATGGGTTAAAGCACATTCCAGTAAATTTGATGTTCGTTATTAATATAATCATTTAAGTGCCCATGTACAAATTGATTCCCATTCTGAGGTACTGGAGACTGGGGTCGCAGAGTACAAATTTGGGGGAGGGTACAGCTCAGCCCCTCCCATCTCCCATGCAGGTTGCTTTGTAACAGATCACTCCATTGGTTTCACAGCATAGTGGAAGGTAAAGCTCAAAGAAGCTGATTCCGGTCCCTCAGTTCAATCACTGACTCACTACGAATCCTTGGGCAACCCCTTCTATTCTGAGCAGCTCAGCTGACATCGTTTCCAAGCCCACTCTCCACACCCACACCTCTAATGATTTGGTCCACATTGTTCTTGTTTGCCAAATTCCGTATCTGCCCGTGAACTGAGAGCTATTGGCAGGCCCCAGCTTCCCACGCCATCGGTGGCTCACGGTGATCATTCGCTTCCGTTGCTGTTTGCAAGTGTCTGTTTGAAAATGACTAAGTGGAATTCTCGAGCTGGACCAATGTTTAGACATGCTTGACTTCAGTTTTTGTCAACGTTATTAACACCTAACACGCACTTTTCTCACTATAAAACACTTTCTCTGTCGTTGTGCCAGGCTTGTTTTTGTACACATGGAGGAAAAAATTATAGAACTTACTCCTAACTGGAAGCTGACTGTTGACCATGGTTTTCCTTAGAGCGGGCCATCCCTAGCCTGAGGCTGAGGTGTCAAATGGGGGGGGGGAGCACAGGAGAATCCCACCCTGGGACAGGCCATGTGCACTGCCATAGCAATGGGTCTTTCTTCTCCCATGAGGGTTTATGGGTGAATGTGCCAACACATTAGCACCATCGTAATTTCTTTTCCATATGTAAACTGAGTTCAGAAACTTTTCATAGCCTTATTCAAAAGATTTTTACTCACACATGTAAGTATATAAACCCAGATCTTGGTTATGCTTTCTAGAGTTAACTTTATACTTGGGTTGACAGCAAGATGATCACATAAAATATGATCTGGGAGATGCAACTGCACCAGCAGAGATGCAGGAGGTACCCCTTCCTTTGTTACCCCTAGAGATCAAAACAAGCCCGTTAGACTCACCCTATGTTTCCCTGGCCAATTCAGGGTCGCATACCCATGCCTGGACCCTTTGGCCAGGGAAATAGGATGACCATCTATTAGTATAGAAAGAATTATCCCCCAAAAACTTAAGATGACAGCAGCCATGTCATGACTGTCTGAAGGGGTTGGCTGGGGCTCAGCAAGGTAATTCTTGTTCAGAGTGTCACGAGAAATTGAACTTGAGCAGGGGCTATTATTTCAAAGACTTCCTTGTCCTCTTGTCTGGCCACTGCAGTTCACTGACAGGAGTTAAGGTTGTTAGCTGGAGCATCTGAGTACAGATGGAATTCCCAGCTCCCAACAGCTGGGAGCTAAGTAGAAGTATCTCAGGAAGTCATATTATTTTGAAAAAAGGCTTGGAAGTGACCCAAAGTCATTTTTATTGTGATCATCAAACCACCTATATTGAAGTATAGAAACATTGATCCTGCTACTTAAGAGTTGAGAAGCTTCCATTGTAGAAAGAGAGTTGGCATCTACTGTAATGACTACCTTGGAAAGACAAGACCACTTCATTATTGGCTTTGCCCTTGTCCCAGCTGTGTCTCAAACAAACTTCCAGATTGTGTCAAGGTCATTGTATACTCTAGGCTCCAAGGATGGAGTGCTGGACCCCTGAATATTTTTAAGTTCTGATCTCAGGATTAAGAACTTGGGCCTAGATTTACCATCAGAGATGAGGATAAAACCACCTTCTCACTAGTCCTCTTGGGGATTACTGGCTTCTTACAAAATGCAAAAAAGAAAGGATAAAAGAATGTGAGGTCAGCCACCAAGGAGACTAAAGGTCATAGTATCATCCTTGTTCCTTCCCAGCCTTTAGTGGCCTCACTTTTTCAGACTGTGCCTCTGGGCAAGGTGACAAGTTCATAGCCTTAAGCCCAGTACTTAGGCCCCAGAGCCATCCCTCAAACTGGCACCAATTAGGATGTAACAACAGCTTGCCCTTGAGGATCAGGATGGCAAGTGCTAAGCATTCTAGAGCCAAGATGCTCTTCTTCCTGTGGCCAGAGCCAAGAATGGACACCCAGTCCTGAGGAAGGCCAACAGATCTTCAAAGGTGACCTTGTAGTCTCAGAACTTCTATAGAATTTCAGCCAGTCTTCATTGCTGAAGATTTTGCACTCATCCATCATTAATTAACCAGGCTTGAGGGCTTTGGGGCCATAAAGAGACCATGTATCACCATGTTCAGAGCGAATACCATTCAGCCAAAATGTATCTTAAAATCCATCCACACATATATCTCTTCCCCGCCCCCCAATTCCGATTCAGTATACCCTGTGTGCGAACACTTTATAATCTACTGTTTTCAAAACTCAAACACGAGAGCTGGAGAGATGGTTCAGGAGCTAAGAGCACTCACAAAGGACCTGGATTGGGTACCTACCACCCATGTGGTGGCTCACACTGATCTATAACTCAAGTTCCAGGGGATCCAATGCCCTCTCCTGGTCTCCATGGGTACTGCACACATACGGTGTGCTTACATGCAGACAAACACTCATACGTATAAAATAAATGTAAACAAATGTTTATTTTAAAATCCCAAACAGTAAATTGTACACTCTCCTCAGATTAAACTGTCTGTTATTAAGAAGATGTGAAGATGAAGTTAAGTGTGCCTTATGAGTCAGTGTTATCTAAGAAATTACGGTCAGCTCTCGGGCTTGGCATTCACTCAATAAAAAGAAACAAAAATAAGTTTTGTGAACTCAAATACAAGCTCTCATGGATGTCACTTAAGACACTGTGACTTCAGCTTCCATTCCCACAGGAGGCATCATTAGACATTACCATCAGCTCACATTTCCAGCCTTCATTGAAGTGTGTAATTCATAGTAGGTCTTTGTGAGCATGACCACACTTAGCCTTCTTCATCCTATTAATAGAAGGATCATGAGGCCTAAAGAAGTTTGTAAACAGATTTAGAAACTTGGTGGCTGGGGATACAGCTCAATCAAGTGCTTGTCAATCAAGCACGAGAACATGAGTTTGATTCCCAGAACCCACACAGCTGCACGTGTCTGCAATCCCAGTACTCAGAGGCGGAGAGAAGGATCCTTGGGGCTTTCTGGCCAGTCAAACATTCTAGCTGGTGAGCCCGGGCTCAGTCAGAAATCCTATCTCAAGAAAGTACAGTGGAGTCTGATTAAATAAGACACTGGACGTTGAGACCTCTGATCTCCACAGGTGAATGCAAACACACACATACACACACACACACACACACACACACACACACACACACACACAGGGGGTCAGAGACTTAGTCAGAGTTGGTAATAATTTCTATGCTCGGCAAGTCTTATTTCACTCCTAGGAATTTGGCATCTGCAATTCTAAATATTCAGCTTGGCAAATGTACCCTTTCCATAATCAGAGAGGGAGGGAAAAGCCTCACTAAGTGGGAAAGAATGACACATCATTCCCTAAGTGTCTCCCAACCTCTTGCCTGCCATCTCTACTCATGACGTCAACCCACATTGCAAAGGCTGCAGTGCAATTCGGGCTCTCCCGGGCTGAAGCCAGTCAGAGGCGGAGGCTTTCCC